TATATAATTACATATTGTTTTTGTGATTAATCACTATGCTTTAATTATGTTCAATTTGTAACAATGAAATTGGGGGTCACCACAACATGAGGAACTGTATTAAAGGGTTGTGGCATTAGGAAGGTTGAGAACCACTGCTCTAAAGTGATCTATGTTGGAGCCGAGTTGGGGGGTGGGGGGTGGGGTGGGGTGGAGAACTAAACAAACAGCATCCCCAAAGCCCTAAGTGGGGCAAATCATCTCCACTGGGTTCAGGGTTGAAATGTTGAGAAAAGACTCCGTTTCTTCAGTGAGGCGCCAGGCTGCCCTGGTGGGTTGGCAATGCAAGCCCATGACTGCCTGGCATGGAGCGATGGGAGAATCGCTGGGGCACTGCCTGGGAAGCAGGGGTCTGAGAAGGAATGAGCTGAAGTCAGGTCAGCGCTCAGGTTGATGGCAGAAGCCCTGAATCACGAGTCTGTTTACTCAAGAGCCTGCAAGAGCCACACAATCCACTTGTTTGCTTTTTATATCTCCTTCCCATGCCAGGGAGTATAACTCGTGTGTGTGCAAGGCCAAATGCACACCCACACCCTCACAGAAGGCACGTGCCACTGAACAAACAGGCAGGGCAACATGCCAACATGTATGATCTTCTGCCAAAGCCCCCTTTAAAACATTTCTATGTTGTTGTTACTCCAAATCTCACTACCAATGGTGTGATCCTCAGTAAGTCTCTTAACCTCTTTGGGCCTCAGTTTTCTCATTTGTATAGAGAGAACCTCCCTACAGGGTTATTTTAAGAATTGGAGCTGATCTGCGTAAAGCACCTAGCCCCAGAATGTTTCAAGGTTTAAATGCGATCGAACTTGTGAAGGAGATAGACCAGAGTAAATATTCAGTGTCAGGTAGCATTACTGTTATTATTATTTCCTTTCAAGCTCATGGTCACATATGAAGCAGCTCCTCTTCTGACAGAGCGCTTCACAGATCCTCTGGATGCTAACTCAGCTCCACTGCTGGCCACGTGTGTGGCTTTGGGCAAGTCACTCCATCTCTCTGAGCCTGCTCTCCAAGATGAGGGCTGGGAACCTGGCCACTGTCCCCCCACTAACGAGGTTACAATCCAAAGAATAATTGCTCTGCAGTCCCATGTTTGCAAACGTGTACTACATGGTTCCGAGGAGATCTCTGTAATCCATGCTTCCAAAGAAGATGCTTGTTTTTCCAGGTAGGCAAGTAATCTGCAGTCATCCACGCTGGTCATGGTGGCTGACTTAGGAATCACACTCTTTCTCTGCTTTGATGCTGTGTCTGCGTCATTGTATTTTTCTTGAGGACAGATGCCTGGCCTTGCCCTCCACACACCCTCAGTATTCACACAGTCACATTACATCCCCTTAATACATGGGAAACAAATATTTGGGGAACCATCATTTGTGGGCACCTTCTCCTAGCAGCCCAGTAATGAGTCATTCACTTCCAATCAGCAAACAGAGCTTGTGTATTTAAATTTGAGTTCAGAGGCTTCCAACTGTTTGTCCACAGGTCAACTATTAAGTGATGTTTGGCCTACCTACAGAATGCTTTAAAATGTTTTGAGTTGGTATCCAATCTCTAAAATTGGGAGACTTGGCATTGAAAAAAAAATCTAGATTTCAGTTTCTATTGAACAAACGGAAGATCTGGCAGCAATCTAGGCTTAGACCATCAGCAGTAGCTAAAGAAAAGCTGCCCTCTCTCCTGTGCCACAGCTCACTACAGCCTCCACTCCCCACTTCCCACTTTCCAGAACTATCTCTGACTCTAGCTGTTAGGCATTAATCTTCAAGGCATAAGAGTGGACTCGGTTTACCTGCATCTAGGTTGTGCATTACATTTAAAGTAGTGTGTTTTGCATGAAGCACTCCAAATATGCTCCATAAATGTGAGAAGGAGGGACTAACTTGACTAAAGTTTGCAAACATGTACTAGATCAGTGATTCTCAACCTGTGGGTCGCGACCCCTTTGGTGGTAATGACCCTTTCACAGGGGTCCCCTAAGACCATCCTGCCTATCAGATATTTACATTACAATTCATAACAGTAGCAACATTACAGTTATGAAGTAGCAACGAAAATAATTTTATGGTTGGGTCACAACATGAGGAACTGTATTTAAAGGGCCAGAAGGTTGAGAACCACTGTACTAGATGGTTCCAAGGAGATCTCTGTAATGCATATTTTAAGATAACATTTTTTTCCCCCAGATAGACAAGTTTTCTACTCCTTCATGGAGTTAGAGTAGAGAGATAAATCTCATGTCACTTATCAAAGCAAACTGAAGCAGAAGAAGTAAACAGAGGCCCAAAAGGCAGAAAAGCAATTTTTAAAAATTAATAAATGATGAGACTATTAACAGCACATGAAAAAGGTTTGCTTTTCCTCCCCCCTTTAATATGATTTTTACCTTAAACAGTGTGTCCCTGTAGGAAAGGGAGGAAAAGTTAATAAAGGAACCTATCACTCAAACTTAATTTTTAGTATGGCAAATAAACTGCTTTAATGAAAGGGCTGAAATCCCCAGGTTTGCGCATTAAACTTTCATTCGTTGTAGAGAATGGAAATCATTGATTTAGCCGTGGCATCATGCATTTTGAATCCCACAGTGGCTTGGAAGCCCACGTTCCTGCTGGGTGCAAATGTGTTGGCAGCGTTCTGATGCCGGGAGAGCAGAGGGTGGGTGAGGGGTAGGGAGAGGAATATAGGGAAGGAAAGGAGGGAGACTGGCTCTTCACAGAAAGAAAACAATCAATGTTCCTCGTTGCCAAGATCCACTTAGACAAAGCACTACTTCTGACGGTATGATGGGCCAGGGGTGCATTCTGAGATCAGAAGAGCTGGGTTCACTCAGTCTTTGGGGAAATGCCTACAGCTTCAGGGATCACTTAACAAAAAAAACCACACAGAATGGATGGCTGATGATTTGAGCCTAAGCTCTTGGGGGAAGTTTGGATTTCAAGAAAACTGCAGGGAAGAAAAGTATCTTTCTCGCTTCAAGGTCAGGGTGTCCATCAAGGGAAGAGTAAACGTCTGACATTCTAATACTGAATTGGATAGCACAGAAAAATCAATCCAAACCACAAATACAGCTCTCAACCTGGTGTGGCCTCATCACAAAGTCAGGTGACAGGAGCATCCCATCTTTACTTAAAGCACAAAAACAGGTATGTTTTTCTTTTGAAAGAAATTAATTCTCCGACCTCTCAGAGGACTACCCTGTATTTAAGCAACACTCAATTATTTCCTCCTTAGAGAACTCATAGGGATTGATTCTAAGCCAAGCAACCTGAATCAGGCCTATTTTGGGGTCTTTGTGTACCACAGACTGTATGAGATCAGGAAAGATAATTTCTAATCATCTTTAGAAATAAGCTAAACTCAATTAGAAAAGTAAACCTGCCCTGGCCGGCTTGGCTCGGTGGATAGAGCATCAGCCTGCGGACTGAAGGGTCCCAGGTTCGATTCCGGCCAAGGGCACATGCCTGAGTTGTGGGCTGGATCCCCAGTAGGGGGTGTGCGGGAGGCAGCCGATCAATGATTCTTTCTCATCATTGATGTTTCTCTCTCTCTCTTTCTCCCTCCTTCTCTGAAATCAATAAAGAAATATATTTTAAAAAAAAGAAAGAAAGAAAAGTAAAGCTGCTGAAGAAAGGAAGGAAGGAAGGAAGGGAGGGAGTGAGTGAGGGAGGGAGGGAGGGAGGGAGGAAGAGAGGGAGGGAGGAAGGAGGGAGGAAGAGAGGGAGGGAGGAAGGAGGGAGGAAGTAAGGAGGGAGGGGGAAGTAGAGAGAGAGAGAGGGAGGGATGGAGGATGAAAAAAGAAAGGAAGGAAGAAAGGAAAGATAGTCACATAATATATTCCCCAAAGAGAAAGTTTTGTTTTGGTTGCCTCCCAGCTATGGTAAGATGCTCTTACACCACTAGTCTCCCCTGTCAGTCTGGCTGTGGGAGAAGCAGCTCTGTTGAACTAAGAAGTTCTGGTTGTGTGTTTTCAGACAGAGAGCTGGTGCCATCTATAGATTTCCATTCTGGGAGAGGTTTCTCTTTTGTCCCACTTTGTGTCAGGCTTGCTGTTGTGAGGATAAGAGTGCCCAGGAGACACCTCCCCTGCTTTAATAGGCTATGAAGAATGGGGCTCATTAATTGGCTGGCAGCTGCCCCCAAACAGGATGCTAGGTGGGGCGGCCGGGAAAGGGAGGCAGAGGAGGCAGGCTCCATTCAGGAGCTCACCACTGGCTGTCAGAGGGGGCCTCAAAGCCAATGGCACCACCTCCTGAAGGACCCCATCAGGTGAAGTCTGAACTGAGAGTGACAATCCAGCTGCAGAAGCCTTGGTCTGGAGGAGCAGGCTCTGGGTCACCGTTATTTTTCACCTTAACCCTTGCATAGATATTATTTACTGGTCTGATTATTTTCAGATGCCTGGAATGTTCCTTTTTTGGTCATTCCTTTGTTCCTGTCGATTTTGTACACCAGTTCACTAGTGTATTTATTTTATAACTGATTTTTCCTTTTCAAGTCTCAGGAGGGTCCTCTCTACCTTTAGGTAAAGCCAAGCTGCTCAGCCTGGCACATGAGGCCCCTGTCCTCCCCCACCCCCCATCCAAACGTAGGCCACACTAGTCCATATGCTGTTCTCACTCACAATATTTATGTACATTTTCAAAGCGTTGCATGTGCTGTTCCCTCTGCCTGGAACAGCTTCTTATCTCAGCTTCTTCCCGTAGCTCAATTCTGGCCATCTCTGCAGACTCAGGCTCACAGGCCTTCCATGTGGGGTACTCATCCCTGACATCCACCACTCATGTTCCCTCCCTGTGCTCAGCCCTCACTTCACTCTTCCGTAATGATCTGTGTCCCCAGGAAATGTCCTCTGAATAAATAAAGAGCATCACCTCCAGCTTCCTCATGGCCTTTATTAGAACAAAGGGATGAAATCAACCAGTGCCTCCCCAATCAGGAGCCAGAATATCACCTCTTACCTTTATGGTTTTGGTCTGGAGTCTGAGTCCATTTAAAGTGTTGATGGCTTTCTCTGCATCCTTTGGATCAATATAGTTAACGAATCCATACCCTAAACTCTGTCCTGTGGAAACATTTTTTAAAAAAGAGAGAGAGAGAAAGAGAGAGAGAGAGAGAGAGAGAGAGCTCAATATCTTTATAGAGGTAACACTTCCCATTGCAGTGAATCCAAACCCTCCTAGTATATGGTTCCTGTTATACCAGGATTTACCCTCAGGTTGAGAAATTTCAAATTCTTTCATGTTTCATTCTGGTCAGTTTTTGAGCTCACGGAGCTGCCCAAGGTGGGAATGGGTAAGCATTCCTGCACATCCACACCATATATACACCAATGTCCTCTTAGTGGAGAAGAGGCAGGACAGGGTAGTGGATGGAGAACAAGTGTCATTTGTTAGAGAGAACTGAACTGGAGTCCCGGGAATTTCCCTGTAAGCAGTGTGACATCTCAGAGATGTGGGGGAGATAGGAGATTAAATGACTTGTCTCCAAAGTTTGTGGCATTTGCCACAAACAGGTTTGAGAGGGTTGATGAGATATTGCATATAAAATGTCTACCCCATACATTGCTTAGAACATAGCAGCTGCTCAACAAAAGACAGCTCTGCTATGCTTAGTCCTGGAAAACTGGGGCAAGTGCTGGATGCAGGAGCGGTGTCTGCTGCCTCAGTCACGCCAGCCACACCCACACCCAGAGGAATGCAGCAGGAGCTGAGCAGCCAGGAGTGCAGGAGACATTATAGTGAAGGCATGGCCAGAATTTTAAGCAGTCGCTGCAAATAATTCATTGCCTCCATCAGTCCCCCAGCCCAATAATCATAAAAGAGGGGTGGGTACTATTGGAAAGGACTGAGGAGCTCCTAACTCAAAGGGGGTGTGTGCAGGCACATTCTTCTAAGAGAATTTAGCTCCTTTGGGTGGAGACGGCATCCGCTTGTCTGCAAAGAGAGGTGGCAAGTGACAGGGCTCCCCCTCTAAGTGAAATAAAAATAATGTGTTTGCGATCGTGCCACTGATTATAAATAGTCCATCAGCTCTGCCATGTGCCATCAGCCAGAAATATCATTAGGAAACTTTACATTTACTGACATACCCTTTAAGAAACACAGAGCTCAGGGTGGCTGCAAAACCAGCTGAAACTTCCTAGGCAATGCTATTGATTTGTGGGCGGCTGCAGAGCCGAAGGGGAGGAAAATGACAGGACATCAGACGTCAGGGAGGACTGATTACATAAAGCTCCCTTTGGAGTACAGCGGCCGGGGCTAGGAGACAATACAACAAAAAGCCTGCCATGTCCTGGTGACAGGAGCCCATTTCAGCAGCCAAAAAATCTTTCCAACAGCTTCTGTTTTGCTGGTAAATGTCTGTGTTTGTGTCGGTTGTAGGAGGGAACCTGGGAAAACAAGTTGGGTTCTGGATCAGAAAGTGGGTGACTTTGTTATCCTTTATAGGATGGAAACAAAGAGAATCATAAGGAAACGCAAATGCATTCTTTTTGTCCCCCAAATGACAATTCTTTCCATTAGCACATTCCTTTGTGTTTTGGAATAACAGAGTTAGAATAGGAAAAGACAGGGGAAGGGGCAAACTTTTCCAGATATGCCCTTCACCAGCCAGAATTAGTAACTGAAAAAGGAGGAGAGAATGCCGAGCAGCCTCCAGCCACCGGGACCCTTCTCTTCCCCTTTCACTGTGGTTGTGGTGTGTGTCTGTCTGTGAGTGTGTACACAGAAGAGTAAATGTGAGAGAGAGGTGTGTGTGAATTACAAGACCTTGCCACACATCCCACAAAATTTTCTGCAAATCAAAAAAGTAAAAGAGACTAATTTCATTGGTTTAAAAATATCATTTATCTTAAATTTGGCTTCACCTCAACAAGCCTAACTAAATTTACCTAATTAAATTCATTTTCATCATGCAAATTTCCATTTTCACCATGCAAATTTATTAGTCCTACCTATCTTGCATATAAGAGAAGCCTTAAAAATGACTGTACTAAAATATTTTTACAGTTATTTATGTTAAACGGTCATGCACCAAGTTGGGCTGCTTCAAAGGGCATTTCAAAAAGCAATACTCTCAATGATAAACCTCAGGTATGAGTTCTAGGAAATGAGTCAGACAGTCAGCCTGTCCCACTAAATACTTTGTGTAAAACTAAAATGAAAAAATATAGACAAAACACTCACCACTTAACTGCAAACATTGAACCTAAATCCAAATAGTTCATAATTCATCACAGTGATGGAATATATGTGGAGGAATTTATCATGCCTACCAGTGATGCATGTTCCCTGATACACTATCTTTCTTTCTAATTATTCATATGTTTACAGAAATCTGAAATAAATAGTAGAACGGCTATGATTGTTATACATTCTATATTTTATCTTTATTAGAGGCCCGATGCACGAAATTTGTGCAAGGGCCAAGCCCCTTGCAGCCCTGGCTGCCTTGGCCCATCGCAGCTCCGGCTGCCTCAGCCCTCCCAGCTCCGGCTTCGTCCAGAAGGTAGTTTGGCTGTCCGGTCTAATTAGCATGTTATGCTTTTATTATTATAGATTGTGGACCTTGGTTTCAGGAGGAAGAAACACTCTCAGGTCTTGGGAAGGTTCTGAAGATCAAGTGAAGGAAAGGACTCCTGAGTCATAGCTCTCCCCCTGCCTGTATCAGTCCCAAACCCACCATCACCTTAGTACTTGACGACAGTATTATCATTATGTGCTCTAGCTTTAGAGAGAGAGACTGTGCTTAATATCAAGAAAGAGGGTGTTCTAGGAAAAGTAAAAACCAGATGAATATCCTTTTAGAAAGCAAGAGGAAAAACGATTGGAGATACTCCTTGATATGAAATAACGAATTGCAAACTTTAAACAGAACACTGCATTGAACAAGAGGAGGGCAGAAGTGGAAAGCTTGCTTGTGAATTGAAAGCTATGAGATAAGCTGGCAACCCAGTGAAACTACCTGTGGTTAACCTAGTTCCCAAACAGGCTGCTTCACGGGCCTCTTGCCATCACAGGAGTCCTGCTAAGTCTAATAAAAAGTGCTCTATGGAACTAAAGACCCTCTTTACAACAGTCTATAGAGGACTAAATCCCTAGGTAGAAAATATAAAATCCAAAGACCCATTTCTTTCAAAATTCTTTTAGTAGTGGGGGAGAGTAAAATAAGGAAGAATTTTGTGTTTTGGTGGCCATATATTGGCGATAGGTTGTGGGTTTGCAGTTCCGTATTTAAATGTACATAGAAAAATATAGATGAAACATATGCACAAAAAATTCCAGCACTATATCCATGGGGACCAAGAGAGCCACCATGCTGGGAAGGCCCAAGGGACCCAGTCAAGAGTCTAGAGCTAAGTGTATGTGTAGGACCCAAACATAGATATGGTCGGTCCTTATATTATTCTTATAGATATGGTCGGTCCTTATATTATTCTTTCTCTCCTCCCCTCGCCGCACACCCCCCCCCCCCCAAATAAATGCATCTTCTTTCTTATTAGCTATGGCAAGATTTGACTATATAGGTATGGCAACAGTATTTCAGAACAGAAAATTAAACTCAATTTTTGTTCTCAATTAATGAATTAATTTTGATAGCAAGTTGAACAAATAAAAAATTAAATTACTGAAGTTAATGTTTGTTGAATTATCAATAAAGAAAAAATAAATCAATAAAGAGGTAAGATATTATGAAATAAAGACTGCCTCCAAAATTCAGAAACTATGGTGAGAACCTGGCTTTTTGAAGCCCAGGTAACCTACAGCCCTTACATGTAACCAGTCCTTGATAGTTCTGAACATGGGCAAAGGGGGGCGGGTCTCCAATGACCACCCATGAGGAGGACATGCATTCTTGGTAGTTTGGGATAGCAACTTAAAATTAGAATGTAGTTTCCAAGGAAAACTTTCACACATAATGCCTACATTTTAAGGCATTTCAGTTGGGTTTTGGAGTAAACAGGTTTTTTTCTTACCAAGCTTTTCTTAAATCTGAACATGAGTATTTCTGTTTTTGTAAATCGCACATGCACAACACAAACACATGCCGTGTCCTCCTAGTATGACGTGGCGAAATCTCTATTCTGCTATAATGATTTGTACACCTAACTTCTCCCCTTAGACGTCAATCACTTCTCTCCCTAAAAACTAGCTTATAAAAGTTTGCATCTTTGAACATAGAGGGTACTCAACAAATACTGGCTACGTGAAAGAATAGATAAACACATTTGTACTAATTCTTTAATTCTGGAAGCATATGACCAGATGTTTTTATGTTTGGGGGGAGAAGAGGTAGAGGGCGGGTCCTTGGGGAAAGGAGAGAACACGACAATAAGCTAACATCAGGGATGATTGGAAAACACAACACAGACAAAAAATGTCCTAGGTGGCTTCTGCAGTATCGTTCAGGTGGACGATAAAACCCATCCCTGCCCACCTTCCACAGAGACTCTGGGTTTCCAAAGTGCTCCCCCCTCTCCCCCTCTTCTGTCGCATTCAATTCCCACAACAGCCTGTGGGAGAGATAATCATCATTTTACAGATGTGGAAACTGAAGTGCAGGGAAAACACTACTTTTCCCTACGTTACAGAGCTGGATCTTAGTCTAGATCAGGGGATGGGGAAATTGTTTTATACATAGGGTGAGATGGCAAATAGTTTAGCATTGGTGGGTCCTTTAGGCCCTGTCATGACAACTCTGCCATTGTAGCATGAAAGCAGCCACATACGACATGTAAACAAATGAGTGTCTGTGTTCCAATAAAACTTTATTTAGAAAAACAGGCAGTGGGCTCAATTTGTCTTTTGGGCCATAGTTTGCCCCGGTCTAGAGCCTTTGACTCCAAATCTGGTATCCTTTGCGATAACCACAGTTACTCCATTTGAACTAAAATGTTATTGACAACTATTTTGAGGCCCTGAAATACCTCTGAGGCTTTTCTGAATCACCTAAGAAAAAGCAGATTATCGCTGATAGTTTGCGTTAAGCATTTTTAATTTGTACTTAAACTCTAGGGATGTGACCACCATAGCTGATATAACCCCTCATTTTCCCAGTCATTCA